CCTAGTCCAACGTTTGGAGAAGATTGACAAGTTCCCCAAGACGCTCTAGTATGAGCCTGGTTTGTGGAATCTTCCCAATACTATATGCTACTGAATCTTCAAGGAACCCTCGGTGAACTTCAGAACCGTGTCTGGGGTTACTGACTTGCGCGCAGAACTCCTAGAGGTGGACGAACGGGAACCTGCGCGTACACCCTGGGCAGATGCTGCGAGTAAAATTGTGCGTCTGGAACACGTACCAAAGGCGTTCGTCTCCAAACGCCTGCTCTCGAGCGGGCCAGAAACCTGCTGTCAATACCAGGACCTCCCTCCACTTCGAAGCCAAGGACTACGAAAGAACTATACCAGCTCCGTCTCGCCCAAGATGCTGCGTCAGCAGGCTCCAATTCCAACCGAGTGTCTGACTCGAGGCCACTTAGAGCACTTCAGGCTCGGCCTTCGGTGCCCATGTATATCATAGCGTATCCATCTAATTCAATAATCAAATGTTGATGTCTCACCTTGCTCCATTCTCGTCAAAGCCACATTAACGCGGAGCAGACTACCCAACAGATCTCTATTCCATACGCATCACTCATACCGAGCTCTGGAACCTCATTACCTTAGCCAAGTATTCGCGCGCGACCACTCAGTCACTATAATAACGTGCGACTTCTCTGAAACGAGACACAGAATGGTTGGAACCAGACTCAACTTCTCTGGATCGGAGCCTATAGCTCCGCGTAGGCATCGTTCACAGACTGCATGGCTGTGAAACGAGCACGTGCTTTTGCACGTGCTGACTGGTTGAATTTGTACAAAAGGGGGCCACAGATCAATTGTTAGACGGACAACCACTGAAGTTTGTTGTATCCTTTCCACTTAATGCGATATTCGCGAATACGTTTCGCATTTCGGGAGCGCTTGGTCCATCTTAGATCCACAATTTCGTCCACTTCATACTCCTGATTCACCAAACCTGGTTCCCAACTACCCTCCGGCAATAAGGCCGCATCAAAATTATCCTCCTCTGAAACGTCAATCCTTCAAGACGGCCGTTTCGGAAACAAGGCACGTGGTTTCAGACGACTAATGTGAACCCATGACTCTACACGGCACCCTGTGACCTGAACCTTCAATTTCACCTTGAAATCGTCCCAAACCTGTTCAATCCTGAATGATCCGTGCCACAAATGGGCCAATTTACGACTCAGACCTGGCAAGACCTTAGGGATATATAACCAGACCGAGTCTTAAACTTCGAAACCGGACTTGAGGTGATCCGATAACACCTTCCTCTTCTGAGTCTGAAGCGCAAACCGCGTACGCTTGACTTTCCTCTGGAGTTCTTCCGCGCAGGCGTGGGCGTAGCTGTAGTCTCGCTGCAATTTTAGGTGCCATTCATACACGGTACGTTCTGCGACATCCGTCGGTTCTGGACCCAGCATAGCTGCTATGGTACTCCGACAACCGAACCCGTGTAGTAGGTAGAACGGCGTATCCAATCTAGTCGCATCGAAGAAGATATTTCTAGCATGCATAAGCTTCTCTGCATGGTCGTCCCAGTCGGTTTGGTCGGGCTCTTCAACATACGCTCTGATACTGTGCATAATTGTCTGGCCCGACCGTTCCTGATGGCCATTGGCCTGAGGGCGATACGCGAGCGTTGCTTTCTGCTGGATACCCATCATCTCGCTGAAACGACGGAACACCCGACTCATGAACCTGGGACCTCTGTCATGACGGATTTCAGAGCTTACGCCATAGTTCCTGAACACAACCTCTTCATAGGCTTCAGCACAGTCTTGAGCGGTAGTACTGCTCCTGGGTTTACACATAACGTAGCCATGTCCTGAAACAAAAGTAGGAAGATATTCCCACGTTCCGGCTTTGGAAGGTGTGTGTACAAAATCCATGGACACTACTTCGAATGGACCGATCGGTTCAATATTCCCGGGTGAGGGTACTCGATTCGGTGATCGCCCCTTAGCGGACGCACAATCCGTACATTCTGTGACAAACATGTCAACGTCTTGGAACATCCCGGTCCAGAAAACTCTGAACGCAGACGCTCATATGTCCTGGTGATGCCTTGATGGCCACTCTGGAAATCCTCGAGAGCGTGGTGTAGGATGTCGGGTCGTAAGGCTTCTGGTACAACTAGGCGAAGTTCAGAACGCTTGTCCCTAGGACGTTCCGGGGTAGGCGCAGCCAAACGATAAAGGACGTCTCTTGAGTCTAAAACATATCGGTCTGAACCCTTCGCGATTTTCTTGATTACAGGTAAATCCTCGATAAACTTGTTGTAGTAATTCAGGCTTCCTAAGAACGATTGAACGCCCTTCAAAGTCGATGGGAAAGGTAGGTCCTGATCGCTCTTGGCGATCTTTGGAGTAGCTCTGATACCTTCGGTACAGACTTCGTGAGATAGATACGGTATAGCTTGTTTACCCAACTCACTTAATCTAACAGACTAACCGAGATATTCCAATATCGGAGTCGGAACAGCAGAGCATCCAGGGCTTCACAAAGTTGGTCCCTGGTAGGCTCCCCGTGAGCTATGTCATCT